AATATGATGACTTCCTACTTTTTTTTTCTCGTCGATCTATCCATCAAAGCATTTTGTGTCAAGAGCTGTTCATTTTAAGATGGGTTTTTTTATATATAACCGAGTGGCTATGATAAAAACAAGTCTTTCTGAAGTGAGGCACACCCACTACAGTAAAATGCTTTCATCACCAACTGCAAGTTTATAACGCGGCTGTAGAAACCCTAATGTTCATCACCCTTCAAACACTGTCTCTATAACATGGTATTGGCACTAGTAATATTTTGATTTGTTATTTAATAGGTGGCAAGACATTTTCTGACCATACCATCTGCGATGTGAGGAAACAAGGAGTATTAAAAGGTTGGGAGCAAGAATTTCCCAATATATCATTGGCTATTCCCTCTACTACCTACCCAACGCTTATATCGTGCAAGTGCATTGCAGTCTTATATTTTATACAGGTAAGAAAATTAAGGAAGTTTTTGAACGTTCTCTTGCATTTAAGCTTCTATAGATATCAAAATTGACTGGAACTTCTCGTTTTGATTTAGCAACAGAGGATAACAGGACAAATAAGGAATCTTAGCGCCTTGGCCGAGATATGTCAATTTCACGAAAGTTATTTTTAGAGGTTCTAGAGGTTATTAAACGGAAACTAATTTCTGGGACATCCGCAAATTTTAATCGATTATTTGAAACGTCATCAAGTCCTCGCACAACTGCCTCAAAGCAATTCATATATCTTATTGAACGGTTCAGTGTGTAGTATCGTGGGATATTTTTACGAGTCACGCCCAAATTCTGTTAGTTTTGCTTCGTCATTCATGATTGTCAAAAGAACCAGATAAAAACAAGGATTTCTGTATAGTTTTCACCATTTTTGTTACATCTATACCACATTGGCTTGAAAAACACTCCTTATTACACAGTACAAGCGTGGCTAATAACAGCGGAACCGTCCGATAAGCAAGTGAAAATAACTAACATGACAGATTACCAGACCAGTAGCCTCTCACAAGGCTACAAGTATTCTGACTTTGAGGAGACGAGCCCAACTGGTTTGCGACTCGCCTGACAGTTTACAAGACAAGACTGACTAGCTACCTAAACGACGTTTTTACTAAAAAAAAAAACCCTTTTCTATAACGCGGACTTTGTCACTCGAAACACGCACAGTAACACCGATTCCAACACTCAGACTAGCTTTAACTGTGACCCTGTTACGACAACGACTATAACGATCAGAGGCACCTCTGAAAATATGGCACCTATTCTACAAATTTACAACATACGCGTTGCACACAAACTGATAACCACTTTACGACGGCTACTCACTAATGCTAAGAGTAAAGAAAAACCGGAGGACCGATAGGGAGCAGTATAAGAGATCACATGTTGCGACTCCTAGGCTACTTACATCAGTGAAACCGGCAGAAATTAAACATTAGCACGCGACTGGCCGAACACAAACGAGCGACGAGAAATGGTGACGTCAACAATCACATTACTAAACAACATTTGCAGACGAAACATCAAATCGACTAGGACTCTGCGACATGTGTTACGTGTTCTACAGACTATACTATCAACGACTTACTTTAGAAAGCTGGTTTATTATTAGCAAAACTAACTACGAGAGAATGACAGGACAACCGAACGACGGACGGATCGAAACGCGCCAATGAAATTACGAGTCTTCATAGCCAATAACATCAAGGCTTAACTGACAGACAACCTATGACACTGCGACTGACCAATCAGGTCAATAAACAGAGTTCAATATCATCAACTGACGTGATACAACTCCCTTTGACTCTGAAGATGACTACCGCACAGGTTGTCGAAACGTCAGTCACTATTAACAACAGCCCTACTCAGGACTACGTTCATCTGGACGATAAAGCTCAACCTACTTATGATCATTTTCTTTCTTCCGGTTTCGCAGATAACAGCAAAGTTTAAAGGGAAGCTCACCAAGAACGGATACCTCGAGATGCCAGTTGTAATTGCTTCCTCCGATGACGAAACAGTAATTGAGGCTCAGAAAAACGCACAGAAGAAGCCGGCATCCCTGCGGCCTTTGCGGCGGAGGGGAACTTTTTTCTGTGTAACGGCCCAAAACACCTTACTTTACAAGCAAGATAACTCCAACATGGACTTCAGTGATCAAGAAGAAGTGGATGATTTTATCGCCAGCCATTTATCACGGACTAAACAAAGCGGCTATAATTTTACGGCTAACTCGAATAAGTCACTACCACGAAAACAAAACCATAGCTCTGCTTTTGCATCACGACACGAACCTGAAAGAAAGGTTGTCAATAGTAACGGGCAATTCAAGCTTATAAGTGCAGTCTAAAACTTTAATCGTGAAAATTGTGGTAGAATTATCATACATCAAAACACGATTATAAAAATATATGTCGAACAGGCGCGACTCTGGTTAAAGCTTTAGGAGATAAATATGAATTTTATGAATTAATTTTAAAAGGCCGTCTGAGATGGACTAGACTTGACATTGTAACGTTAGGCGAATTCCGCGGGTACCCTTTTACGTAACTATTGTGTGTCACTTGACGGATGGTACAAATTACCCTGTGACTACATTTGTGTGTCGGACAATGTATCTCGTAAATCGGGTGACCCCTTGCGAGGCAAGGTTTACAAATTTGTCAAAATTTACTTTTTGTGTGGATCGCTGAGCGGGAAGTGAACACTGCGTATTTGCTTACGTTGCTTAGTGGTAAGGAATTTTCCGGGTTCAAATCCTAGAGGATCCATTTTTTTGTTTCTTTTTATCATGTATTTTGACTTTAATTTTTGACGTGAATTTTAAGGTATTGGTATAAAAAATGAAGTAATTTGTTGAATAAAATCTTGTCCAGTTAGCCATGAATTTGATTGCATTGTATTTCACAACAGCAATATTTCATTTTACTTATTCTCTTTTTTTAAAAAAATCAGTCTTGTGTGTTTGTTTGTTTATTTTTTTTTTGTTTTGTGTTTTTACATTTTACCACATTTCGTTAACTTCTTCATTGCGCGTTTTATCGCCGGGGTTGATCATTGATTTTCCTATTATCCCGTCTTCAGTCGCACAATTCGTTGCAGCTTTACTCACAAAAGTGCGAGGCTACGAAAGCTCCTGCCAAAAACTTGGCGGGAAGTTTATCTATTCTAAATATGTCCATGTAGAATATTTATGTACTTTTTTATCATCAGTGGCCAGTTGTGTACGTAGAATTTCAAGAAGTTTCTGTACTATAAAATGGGTTTGAAGCAGCCAGACATACTTTATACACAACAGCTTATTCTTAGTTGATTCATTTAACTGCCCGCGCGCCGAGAAATGGAGATTAACTAGCTTTAAACGATTACCTAGAGATTTCTCGTCGATTATTTGAATACCTTAATTACATAAATACAGAACCTAGAGGTAACGCCGAAGGCGTATTTAATAATTGACTGATGTTTGTATAATGTTTATTAAACGTTTTTAACCCTCAAATAATTTAGTTTGCTTACTTTGTTCAACTTAATTTCCGTGAGCGAGGGTGGAATATATTTTATGCGTAATAAAAATGTGATGTGATAGTTGACTTTGGTTTGATTGCAACCACAAAACCTAAGAAAATGTATTGTCTTTCGTACATAAACCATAGATTTGTACATATGATAAATCCTTGGCTCGCAGCAGATGTTAATATTACTTGAAAAAAGGTTCTGTTGCAGTTGTAGTGTAGATTGCTGTCATATCACAAACTTTGTCGCTTTTGTTTGGGGAAAACGGTGGTCAGGACAGTTAAAAAAGGCCTTGAAAATAATGTGAGTGTTTGTATGTTGCTTCAGTTACTTGTTTGAATCCATTCTTTCTTTCTTTTCTTTTTTTTTTTTAATTCTTCTTATTTTATTGTAATGCGCATGTGCCGCTGAGTGTGGACATGATAAAGTTGGTTTTTCATATAAACACGAAGCAGCACATAAAGTGTCTTTTTAAACTGACGCTGGATGAACAAAATCTCACTCCGAACAAAAGCAAGAAGCAAAACACTCCTCAGTTGTAGCTAAAGCTATCCTTTCTTCCGTCCGCATTTTATCATTCGTGAAGGAGGGATTGGGAATATACACTTGCATGGCTAGCGTTGGTGTTGTTTTCCAGCGTCAAACGAATCTTTTTGTAGCGGCTTACATGGCAAATCGAATTAACATTAAGCAATATAAACTGTATAATTATATTGATCTCGAAGCACGGCAGGACGGGTTGCCAAAAGTAGAGTTGGATTTCTAAAAGATAAAGTAACTTATCAATTCTTTGCGGTAGTGAACCCCGCTACAACTCGTTGAGTAACATACAAAAATAGACCTGCTAGCATAATGGGTCTTCTCACTGTCTTTGGAAAAAAATAAAGTCTGTTCGAAGCCACACATCAAAGCTGGCTACCGGTGCGAGCCCCGATTCAGTATAAGCCAAGAGCAAAATAACTGAATGCCTTAATTTTAGCTAACAAGCTGACGTTTCCAGTATAAAATGTCCGACAAAATACGCTTGTCTAGGCGTTTCTTTTTCACGCCATTTAGAGGCTTCCGCAAGGGATAACTTTGAAAAAATCGCTCTGTAAAAGTGTCTTAATGTCTGGACTTGTAGAGATTTAACTCTCTTTGGAAAAAAAAGCAGGAGTATCAAAATTTTAGCTCTTTCAAAAATGACTTCTTCACATGTTCATATTTTAGAATTCTGTACGCTGTTATACACTTGAAGGATTCATCGACATCAATTCGCGTAAATATTCAATGATCTACACTCAATCTACACACTTGATCAGCACCACTACTCTGAACGACTACACAGTTCCTAGATTCTCCTGCAAAGTTCAGTTTTCAGATCACGTGACGTATTTTCCCGCCACAATGACGCAATTATTTTCTAACAAGGAGAAGGAAAGAAAGAAAATGAGATCCTGTGAATTGATCATGAGATCACTATCGTCTTAAATTTGTTATTTATAAGCAATGATATAATGCTGGCGTAAAGACGTTAAACATACTAGACAAGGAAAGAATCAAAGTTCTTGACATTTACAGAATTCAAGAAGAAGAAAAAAATTAACACAAACTTCCTGTCCTATATTGGCTTGTGTAATGCCATCCCAAAGAATTGGAGGAAAGCTTTTCGCCGTGATCACGAATTGATTTGGTAGTTATAGAACATGAGTAAGTTTAGCCATTTAAGAACTTACCTCCTACCTGCGGGCAAGCACGCGCGTTTTATGTAAATAATCTTTTCAAAAACCTACGTCAGAAGTTCGTCTTTTTGAGGCTGGATTCGAAATTCACAGATCAAACAATTGCGGCGTTGTACGTTCTTACATTCTTCCATTCAAAGTCACGAAAAATATAAAGCTTTCTATTTTTCAATTTATTTAAATAAACCATCATATCCTGTCCACTAGCGACAAACTTTTCAAGGCCAAAATTACTGACAGTGACTCTTTTCATGTGTGTGGATCGAAGCAGACCTTAGAGCATCTGTTTGTAGAGTGCCAGTATGTTGACTCCTGGAACCTTTTTGCCTCTTGGAGGAACGACAGTAACTCGCCCATAGTGTCTTTGACCAACAACGACAAAATTTACGGATATCTCCCTGAGAAACGTTCCTTCCAAACGTTCAGTCTTTGCCTCCGGAGCCAAGGAAAGCAAACTGTATGAAGTTTCTTAGCCTTATAGCTTTTCTGAAAAACAAATTATCTGCAGTCCTTCAAGCGTTCGAGAATCCTTCAGCCTTTCGCTGCATCCAATTTTGGCATGTTCATTTTACTTTTGTTGGTGGTTTTAGTAATAAGTTAGATTAGTATTGTAATATCATGTGTGTCTCCGTCTGTTAATATTGTATATTAAAAAGTTTTAAAAGTTTTACTTTAAAAAAAGTGACGGAAAAACTCCCTGCTAATCGTATCCGGGATTAACTAGGCTTTTAAACATTTTATCCTGGCTAGGCGCTTGGTTATAGTAAATTTAGTTTCGGGTGGCTAAGTGCAAAATTTAGCTGGATTAAGATAGGTTTTCAGGTGAACAGAGGAGGTTTCATTAAGAACTGATGTAGAGATTATTGTCAACATCTTACTTTCATTTTCAAAAAATATGTAACGGAAATCTGCAAGAGAGATCCAAAAGAGGTTCATTTCAGTTGGTGGTAAAGCATCTGGTGCTGCCTCCACCTGTGTGCACTACAAAGGATCCAGAAATCTGCAAAGCAGATAAATTCCAACTCCAAGCATCTACTCATGAAATCCCTAGGACTTGAAAGTCCTTCTCATCCAACAAGGATGTGGCTTTGATTTAAGATGCCCCTCCTTACATTCTATCGTCAGTTTTTCCATCGGATTGGAAAATATCTGAGGTCAACCCGTTTTATAAGGAAGGGGATCTTGAGATTGCAAACAATAGCCGCCCAGTAATGCTATTCCTAGTGGCATTGAAGGTTTGCGAACGAGTGGCACTGAATCATTTGACTTGAGGCGATGGATGCGACGAAACTAGCATATGCAATCCTCCTAGATTTGTCAAAGGCATTTGACAGGTTAAACTATAACAATTAAAGACACTGGCTGGGTTGTTGGTCGTACTGTTGTGGAATGGTTTAGAAGCTATTTGTTAGAAAGACAGGATTAGTGCTGAGGCTTCGAGCCTGGGTGCTATTTCTCATGGTGTTCCACAGGGGTCTATCCCAGGTCCAGCCCTATTTACCTCCTTCATTGACGACTTTCTCAATATGCTGGAATTTGGTTGTCTGGAATCTTACTTTGACGATTCAAGACTCTATCTGTCATTTTCTGTCAACAATGCATGCAGTGTGGTCCAGCAGACTAATGATGATTTATTGAAGATCGTGTCTTGGTCCTGCTACAATAGTCTCTTGATCAACTCAAACAAGAGCATGTTGATGCTGCTGTACATATTACATCTATAGTCCTCTGGCAAACATAATGAATCTATCTTTTCTGCAAGGCGTTTATCTGTCAAAGCTAAAACAAAAGAAAGTTATTCCTGTTTATAAATGTGATGATGACAATGATCCAGGAAATTATAGACCCATTTCGTTACTTTCTATCTTCAATCGAATCTTTGAAAAGTTAATGTATCGCCGCCTTTCAGATTTCTTTGAAAAGATGATGTATTCTTTAAATCAAAATATGGCTTTCGTAAACAGAATTCAAATCAACACTCTATTTTAGACATTGTCAGCACTATACAAAGTAACATGGATAAGGGATTTTATACCTGTGGCATTTTTATTGATTTAAAAAAAGCTTTTTACACAGTCGACCAATCAATCTTGGTGCATAAATTAGAGCACTATGGCAGGAGGCATCGTAAACAACTGGTTTTCTTCATATCTTGCTGGTCGCCACAAATAACTGAAGTTCAATCGATACCATCTAAAGAAAAATATGTCCCTTGCGGTGTCCCCCAAGGCTCCATGCTCTGGCCTGTATTATTCTTGCTTTATATCCACGACATTTATCGCAGAAATTTTACTTTTAACTGTTTGCTGATGACACTGATATGCTTTATGCTGACAAACACATCAAATCACATGAGATCCATGTTAATCTTAAGCTTGAAATGGCCAAAGTTTGGGATTGGTTGAATACCAACAAATTAACCCTAAACGCCAAGAAGTCTAACTTTGTAATATTTCGTCCTTATCAACGAAAATGGACACTCTGATTAATATTCAGATTTTTGATAACAACACCCACACCTTACCTCACCAAACCTCACCCAGGGAACTTCTACATCAATATTTCAAAAACGAATAAAAAACTTACTAGATCTTTCACTAGATTTGAAGCCAAGTTATGGAATAGCATCCCCGCTGAAATACAACAATATCCAAAAAAACCTTCAGAAATAATGTTCATGAATTTATGT